GACATTCGATATCCCCCATATTTACCTTTGCTTTCATCGTAGAAGGAGACATAGGGCAATTGGGTTCCTGAAGGCTTTCACCAACTGGCGTCATTTCGTCTTTCCGATTCGTTCGAGGAATAAGTTTATTTTTGTTTTTAATATTTTCTTTGTGCTTTGAAGTTTCTTTGGAGGTTGAATTGGTTTTCCGGGTAGGGTTGGTAGCCCTATGCCCAACCTTCCCTCTTTACCCGAGCTTAGGACCGGCTGGTAACTGGTGAACAAGTTAACCAGGCGAGGTTAGTTTGCGTTATAATACATTACAATCATATGTTATGAAAATGGCACAGTATTTTTCAGTCTGGAAATGTATTTCTGCAGGCTGTTTGCAAATACTAGTTTTTGATGTGTTAATTCAACACAGTAGAATTTAAAACCTTGAGACACAATGGATTCCCGATCTAAAAGATTACTAAATAGGCTCTCAGACATTCCAAGTTAGTAAACTAATCTGCCTATGAGCTGTAGTGCAGTAAGCAGGTCTAAATGCCCTAATAAGAAACTGGTGCTTGGGTTGATACAAATAGTCCTGCTAGACAACACTATCTCCAACACAGCTGACTGGTGTATAATTAGGTTTATTGATACCTATCAATGAAGTATACTTATGATATGAGTTCATATGATCTCAGACAAATCAATGCGAAATGAAGGAAAGTTTGAAATATTAAGCGAATGAATTGCGACTGAAATCTGTATTCCTTGGGAAATTAGTGGATTGAGGTTGTGATTCGCTAGGTGTTATTTAGATTATGAGATGAAACGATCTCAAGGTGATCTACACCGTTCCGATATACAACTAAAGAGGATAACTGGTCTTAAACAGAAGTTGTTTCTGACCAGCACTGACTTTAGGCATAAGAAGAGGCACTGGTTCACATAGTGTTCATCGACACCAAATCAACGAGGGACACAGACAGGTCACACTGCTACGAGCCAACGTTGGAAAGGGTCGGTGAACGATTGACGCTCTTTCTGGAGTTCCGGTCTGAATTCCGATCACGCCCAGTAGGCACTCTTTTATATCTGTGCCTAACTGGCCTCAGGAAGCATGAGGGAGTGAGGCCTGTCTGTGCTGGACTGGTAGATGAGGAAGCCAAATACGCATTCATGGAGGAATTAGCCAGGCGTTTATTTAAACGTGACAGCAATGCTCATCCTGAGGGAACCTGGTGTGATATTGGGTCTGCTGTAGAAACGGTAAAGACAACTGGTAACCAACGCACGAAAATCAGAAACGTTACCAGATTTCCGCGATATCATCCAAAATGACTGATGTCAGAAGACTGATTGCTTCAGGTTGTGATCACGATAAAGAGCAAAAGTAACTGAAACGTAAATTGACCAAGAGTCTTCGTGTCGATCGCCAGCAGTGGTGCCTGGCGAAAGTGAGACAGATGGAGAAGGCACCAGCGTTGGGTAACACTCGACAACGATTTAGGCTTATTAGGGGTACCGGCAAGAGCATAATGGTTAGTGAAAACATCACCGAAAAGGATGGGACGCGTATAATCTCCCAAGTTAGGCAGAACACTTTGAAGCACGGTTCAACTGACCCACAGCTACGCTTCAGGTGCTCAACATCTAACCTCAACCTGAATGGGACGAAGATATCAGTATTCCAACACGTCTGACTTCACAGAGATTGATCTACTCACTGGAAATCATCTGTCGGAAGATGATATTGTCATGCTAGGTGAATACGCTGCCGAAATAAAAGGTCTTCTGGAAGCGTTGAGCAGAAATCTGAGGATGTTTGACATGCGTTTCACGGCATCTGTGATATTTGGCTTCAGGAATAATCTGCAACCACTCCAACTTTCATGATATGGAGTGAAGTGGTGGGATATGTCGACCATATCACTTACTTGGGGAGCTGCATCATACTAAACAGGCTGCTCACTGACGAAATCTCAGCTCAGGTAGAGAAGGCTGGTTTCACATTTGCCAACTTGCCCTACCGGTGGAGCCGACTGATGAGATATCCGACTATCTATCAAAGGATCAGTTCATTCTCTACTGTTGTACAGCCGTAATACATGAACACTAAAAGTAGAAGGTATGAAGCGACCATAGGGTATCATCTCAGATGTATTCACAGCATTACTCGTGCTTGGTGGGATCATAGTGTCAGCAATGTTGAGGTCAGGCGAAGGGTATTAAGCAAGACAGGAAAGTCGATTGATGAGGTCGTGAACTATAGTCGACTGAGACTGTTTGTATGTGTTGCACTTGTCGTTCCTCCATCTATCTCAACTTGCAGTGTTGAAAGAATTTGGATTAGTTTGGAAGAGGGTAGAAGGAGGCTAGAGCAAGACGTGGCATATGTCCATAGGGTTTCTGACTGTTGGTCTGAACCATCTGCGGGAGTCATACAATACGTGTCTAGTGTCCTCGTGACCAGATGCATCAGTGTTTGAGGACTCTTGGTCATATAGCTGAAAATCGGTCACCGTGACGCAAATGTAATCACTCCTTGACATCTTCTTAAGCTTGAATATTTGCACTAACCCTTTATCTTGAAACTGTTTATTGTCTCGCACAACTTTGATGACTTCGATATCAATTTCTATCCACCTGCACTGTGTTCTACTATAAAGTACGGCAACTTGAGCCGACGCACCTCTGTGCGAGGTTCCATGTTGATTTTGTCAGTCAGTCTGTATGTTATCAATCTTTTTCGTCACCTTAATAAGGTAGTTTTCAAGACTGTCATTCTAACTCATCGTGTGACTGTGTGAGTAGGTATGCATCACCACATCTGAGGTTTTTCCAACATTCTTTATCGCTATAGAGTTGGTTATTCTATATTGTCAGGGTCAATAAGTCTTCCTAATTCCGCAGACCCAGGTTGCCTAGTCTAACCTCATTGGTACTACAAAACATAGTAGACCAAAGTGTTTCTTCTATCAAGTTTCAATAAGATCCTTCAGGTGACAAAGTAAGCTTCCGAGTGAGGTTTCACATCTTAACGTCAAATCAACCTAAACCTTCTTGCGAATCCTACGAAGGACTCCTGGTGACTCTTCTCTATACGGCAATACTCTGAAGGTTGTTAGATCTTTTTCCAGTGTTATCATCGCTAGTAAAAGTACTTGTGGCTATAAATTCATCAGCGGAAGTACTCCTCTTACTAAATCTTATGTTTTTAAGTGAACGTTCTCAGGTGGTTAATGAGAAACATTACTTCGCCTGTTTTATTTCTACACATAGATGTTTCAGCTGACAGTTTCACTACCGTTACTTAAGGCCTAAATGACATCAGAAGAGATGGCCTTAAGTACATACATCTTTTGCAGACGCCAGTGTCTTAATTTTATTCGGTTTTGCAATGTAACATACCCCTCATTCATCAGTTCATATTGCAAATATAAGTGGATTGCATCAAATACTGAGTTGATGAGTGCAAGAAACGTGTCGGTATGGTTAATTTGATGGCTAGCAGTGGAATCTAGGATGCTTGTTTCAGCCTATTTTGGATTCGTCATTTGATATACCTAGATTCCAGTGAGTAATGCTGTTCCCATTGAGATTCGAACCCAGAACCAATCGCTTCAAACGCCAAAGCGTTATCCACTGAGCCACAACAGAGATCGAGGAATTCGACCCAGTATAACAGCCTGAACCTACAAGCATCGATAAACAATGTGTGATTATGTTACGATGTCAACGCTGTAAATATGTGTCAACCATCCGTAAATATGTTTACTGTAACTGAAATTATTTGTGACCCAGTCAATTACTTCGATTTCTTTGTATATTTTATCCTGAAACTTTAAGACTGTGGATGTTCAGTACCTCAGTTCAAAAATGAAATGGTTGAAGAGAACAGTGATTATGTAATGCTTAAATATTCTTACATTATTCTGTAAAGTTCCACACTGCCTCAGTACTTATGTGATTAATTTTTTGTTAAAATCAAGTAGAAGTAATTAAGAAAACTGCTAATCAACTAAATACAAACTAGTTATGCAAACATAATGCTCAGTTTTGAGCCCACTAATATTGTACTCATTATATCACATAAAACGTGGATGAAAGAAAACCGATGCCTGAAATGACTGAAAATTAACTACTGCTGTATGAGTTTAGATTACTTAACAAGTATCAACCAGCAGAGTGATGGTAAGACACTATACAGAAAGAAAACATGCGTTACTAAGACATTTTAATACGTTCATGTAAGAATGTGGCAACTGATGGAAATGGGGCCAGGAAACGAGCTTTTAGACCTGATGGTAATAGGAAAAACGCGTGATCAGTAGTTTTAGCAACGAGAAGATTTAATGGAGAGAGAAACGGTGTCAATATGATAATTATGAAAAGTAATTATTGTTGAGAAAAATCCTTGATAAAGATGAAATTTTATAAATCCATTGAGGTTACGTTAAAGACTTCAAATAATTGTAGAATGTATTTGAAAAGGGATCATTCTTAAAATTTCAGGTTGGAATTCACCATGGACTGGTATCAATTGGAGGAACATTGAAGACCTGGGAGCACTGGATGACTGTTTCGTCTTAGTATGGGACTCCTCAGCAGTGCGAACCCATGACCCCACCAGGGACCCAACCCAGGACCTTCAGGTTCCGTGGCCAGCGTGCTACCATTGAGTCAATAGTTCCGGACCCACTGGTCCACATTTCCTACTTCTGTCAGTTCACGATATAGTGCAACACACATCCAATATCGTCATTGAGTAACTATCCTCATGTTCGACTTAGTTAACTCCACTGGTCATGACTTCTCACTAGAACTTCCGGATCACCTCTCAAATATGAAACATTGGATTCCACCCCGTTGTTCATTTTTACTTCAGGATTCATCCATGTGTGTATCAGATCTTTTCAGAAGAAAAACATAACTCAGTCATCAATTAGTTCATTACTCATACAACCAGTTAATTAACGTTTTTCCACTTAAGATACTTCAAAATTATCAAGTAAACAAGAGTATTATATTATATAAACAGTTTTTTTTTTTAATTGATTAAGAAATTCTCACAAGTCATTATCACTTTTGTCTGATGCATTTAAATTATCAGAAAATTCTTTTATTTTCTGTGAAAGTTGATGTTTGATACTTTCAGAGCAAAATGCCATATCAACAGAATTGTATAATATTTCAAATACTTGTTGTCTGTCTAGTTTACAATGTTCAATAGCCAGTTGGAATTCTTCTGACAGTGTACAATTAAATAAGCCTTTATCATCAGTCTGAAAAAAGATGAAGAAAAAGGAAGCAAATAATATCACATAAAAATGAAATATTTTACTCATAATAATTATATGCTAAGTAAATATATTTTTCAAGTTGTTATTCATCGTAGACTGACATCAGTTGGAAGAACAAAGGAAACCTGGGAGCACTGGACAGCTGTTCGTCCTAGTATGGGACTCTTCAGCAATGCGCACTAACGACCCCGCCAGGGATCGAACCCCCGACCTTCAGGTTCCGTGGTCAGAGCGTTACCATTAGGCTACTGGGTCAAAATCTAAAGGTCCATATTTCCAACTTCTGTTAGCTCACGATATAGCGCAACCGCCACGATGAATAACAACTTGAAATATTTCTAAATCCCCACAACTCCCTCGAAAATACATTTCTGATATCGATGATAGATTATAGTTGGCAGTAGAATCCATAATTCGCGTTTCATCCTACTGCAAGATACGTTAATTGGATGTATCAACCTTCCACTGAATGATGTACTGTTCACACTGAGACTCGAATCCAGTACCCACCAATTCAAATACTGGAGTATTATTCACTCGGTTACCGATTCACTGGTATCTAGATGCGATGGAAATATTTTTGAGCATTAAAAGAGATGATAACTTCATTCCCACATTAATATCCATTAAAGAATTCACTGAAAACAACTAAAATGTTGTATTCTGGGAATTCACAAAACCGTTTACAACTACTGACTACTTTCGAAGCCAAATGGACACTATCAGCTTCTTCAACCAAATAAAATAGTCGAGAGGTAATAAAGTCAATAAATGCCACAGCTTAGATCAATCAGTTCATAAGTATATAGTGTGTGTGTACACGGTAGTAAAGACGCTGGTGGAAATGAGAAATCTTCAAATTGGGCAAGATGAAACTTTAAAATTCTCATCTAATATTACAGGCTTTGTAAAACCATACAATATTGAAGAAGTTGGCCACAAAAGACATATCTATTCATGTGAAGTAGGTAATTACACAGTAATACTGATATGTCGGGAATGAAGTCATATCCTACATCCAGTCGATACCAGCGAACAAAAACCACTCCTATTATATTGATTCTGGTAACCAGCAGAGGAATCCTGGACGCGCATTTCGTCCTACTTAGGACTCGTCAGCTGTATGTTCCTGCATCCCATTGAATGATGTTGTTTCCCGCTGAGGCTCAAACCCAGTACCCTTCGCTTCAAACGCCAGAGGGTTATCCACTAAGCCACTGAAGCACAGCAGCAACCTCCTGTGCAACGGCCATCAGTTGTTGTAAAACCACCCTTATAAATATACTCAAATGTGATTACCTGTCAGAGAATTGGTTTAGTGATTCAGAACACAAACATAACAAGGACTTTTGAAAACTACAAAAGTTAGTTTCGAAACCGTAACGGATAAAATTAAATCAGATTTCATATATACTTTCGTCATTATTCTTTCGAAGAGATGAATGCTAATTCTTACACAAAACTGTATAAGAAGAGTTACCGTAATGGACACACGTGAATATAATCGGGTTTACGCCTAAAAATGTCATCAGACAGTAAAATTTACTTCAGAATGATCACAAAAACTATCTTTCAAATATAGCTAGCAGCCTTTCGAAAGGCAAATGTGATTGAATATTGAGTGATTCACTGAAGTGGATGAAGTACAATATGTAAATCTCAGTAGGCTTTAAATTAGACCCTATCATGAACTATATTTGTACAGTAGTATGCAACTATGAGTCAAAAATAGTAATCCGTTTTTTACAAAACAAAAAATTTCACTGATAGGTTTTCATATTCACCTTGATGATGTAAACACTACTGTTCTACTCTTCTGAGATTTCAAACAGCTAGTCTCCTTCGTAAAATTTGAAATCTTTATAAATATGCCTGCCTGTGAGCATACTGTTCGGAATGTATTGTTGAAAATATTACTCTACTTCAGTAGATCCATTAACCGGAGAAAGAATTTCCAGTCACCAGAGCGCGAAAAAACTAAATGTAGTTGCTTTATGAAATGGAGTCTCAGAGCGGAAGATAAATGTAATGGCTAAGAGTCTGTCGTCGCATTTCAGCTTTCTGATTGTAGTCCTACATGCAATGCAGCTCACTGACTCAAGGTTGAAAAACAAAGTCAGTGGAGGTTTTCTTGTGGTTTGGTTTTGTCCTTTATATGAACAATGAGGTGAGTGGAAGTAGATTTCACTTTCTAGTTTGACGTTTATGGGAATTTTATGTATTTCAAGGTAGTATTGATCACGAACTGATATCATAAGGAGAACTTTTGGAAATCGAAGAGTACTGAACAGCTGTTTCGTCCCAGTGTGGGATTCCTCAGTCGTACCCATGCAATAACCTCACCCGGGATCTAAATCAGGAAATTCAAGTCTCGTGGCGAATGTGTTAACCATTCGGAGTTCGATGTTTCACAGTCTACTACTTCTTTACTTTTGTTCTTACCTTGCCTGGACGATTCTGTTTACTACTTTATTATCACTATACATACTCCTTGTACATGCAGACCCTTGCAGTGTTATAACATCGTGTGATGTATTTTCTCGATGCATTTCTTGATTTATGGAACAAAAAATGTATACTGCTTAGAAAGCCATCTTTCAAACCATATTTCAGTGTCAACACCACTTTTACAAGGTTATGTTTACCATTGAAGTCAAGTTCAAAAGTGTATCGACTACTTTGTGGAACTCATTTGGTACCATAAAGCATCTATTATAGAAAGAAAGGCCATGATTAAAATCTTGGCATGTAAAACACAAATGAACTATAGAACACCGAGCAAATGTGATGGAATAAAGACCATTTTGAGAATAGATATCACTTCACATTTCATGTCTACATCATGCATCCCAAAAAGAATGTTTCCATCTTTATGTCAAGTTCGAAAATGGATCGATTAACGACACCACTTTTTTAGGGGAAAATAATATTTTCTAAATGTTTACATATACCGCATTCGTTTAAGATTTATGCATATTGTACATGTTGAATGTATAGTATTACTTACACATTACAGAAACTAGTCGTTAATCTTCACAATAGATTATTAGTTATTATTCTGGTGACAAATGCTTGATATAACACCTTCAATCGTCATCCAATATCAATAATACAACTCCGACAAACCACGGCTACGTTAGATAGGCAAATTGATAATCAATATGATGCTCTCCCTCTCTAATTCAAGTAGATTTGGATTTGGATGAGAAGTCCAGACTGGCAGCTAGTGTGAGCACGATCAAGCGGTAGTAACGCGTCACGAATTCACATGGTAGTTGGGTAAAACCCGTCTTGTGATTGAAGTGAAATAAAAACCTGGTCAGTAGTCGGGTCTCGTAGCTCAGTTGGTAGAATGCCAAGCCGGAAACCCCTTGGCTGCTGGTTCGAATCCCGCCATAGCCCATATTTTCATTTCACTTTCAATCACCGACTAGTATCAATAGTAGTCTGCCAAACTATGACCATCTCACATCAGCAAAATGATGATATGTGTTCAGTTTTTGAAATGATAATCATAACAAGTTATTCAATGCATTATAATCCTTTTTAAAGTACTTTCAAAGCATATCCTTAGTACAAAAACAATACAATACATTAACAATGAATTTCCATCAGTAGAAATTTTAATACTACAAACGAGAAAACCTTAATAATAACCTACTAGGATGATACTGATAACCAGGGTATATAATCGACATATACATACCTTATCACAATATATGCAGGAATAGCTTACACAAGGAAATACGAATACTATCATTACTAGCTTACACAAATGCAAATTGGATGTTTATTTTTCATCCACCAATAGTTGATATGATGAGATTCATAGTTTTCAATAGTTTTCGATTTAACATTCGATGTAAGGCATAATTCTGAAATAAAATAAAAAGAAATCAGAAGGAAATAAATAATTCTCTTGATGGAAAGTCAAACAAATAAGTCTTCTATCAATATTTTTTAATATTACAATTATCTTGTTTAATGAGACCAGTGTTGCGATTGAAAACTGGCCATATAGGGGAATTCGTGATGCTAACTATGGTATTAGCTACATTAAACTAGTCCTGTTTTATTATTTAGGTCTCTGGATACAAATAATCGACTTTTTGTTGGTGTGCATGACCGGCTCGAAGCTGGCTTCATCTACTCAGGTATGGGGAGTCATGAAGTATCAGTAACCCTCAGATATCAGTTATGACTCATTGTCTAATGTACAAACTTGCACGTGATTATAATATAGTTCAATGTAAGTACTAAACATTGGGTTCCTTGGTTTATAAGTTATGCTGAATGGTGTACTAGGATTGGTCCATTCAAGTAAAACAACTACCCATGATTTATCTAACAAAAGCTGATGAACAGCAAAACCTATAAGTACCGATATCTCTAGGGAAATTGCTTTGAACTTCAAAAACGGATAGATTGTTTAACGCCATCATTATAGCACAGTTAGTTAATCTTTAGTGATTCGCTGCAGTCCGTTCTATCCTCTTATACAGTTGTGACACATGGCCGTCACATGTAGAATAAATGAAACGATTATAGGGTTTTCAACTTAGATGTGTTCGTAGCATTGCTCATGTTTGGTGGAATCACAGTGTGAGCAGTGGTGTTAAGGTTAGGCGAAGGGTATTAGGTAAGACATACAAGTCGATTGATGAGGTTATGAACCTTAGCCAACTCAGATAGCTTGGACATGCACTGCGTAGGCCAGGTTACCCTCTACCTCGGTATGCTATGCTAGGTGAAGTTGCATCAGGTTGGAAGAGGTTGAGGGGTGGCCAGACCAAGACGTGGCACCAGTTAATGGGGTTTCTGACTGTTGGTCTGAGCCGTTTTAGGGAGATATACACTACCTGTCTAGTGTCCTAGAGAGTATATGAAACAGTGTTTGAGGAATCTTGGTAACATGGCTGGATATCGGTCACCGTAGCGTAGACATATTCACTCCTTGAATATTCGCAGTAAACCTTTATCTTCAGATTGTTTATTTCTCTCGTACAACTTATGTCTATTTTGACATTGTTTTTCTATCCATCTGTTCTTTGTATGCTACTATGAAGTGAAGTAACTTGGTAATGTGGATAAACAACAGCCCTTAATAGGGGGAAACAGTCCAACTACTAACGAATGACGAATATATCACCAAACAGTCCATGTATCAACAAGTTATGGAAAAATCAAAAGGTGCAGACTGTGCTAAGATTATGAGGGCAGTATCCACTAATCAACACCACTACTTTCATGAACCTAAAAGGAACCATTACGCTACCACCTCTGATTCATAGATGTGGCTCATTAGCCTAGAAACTAGATTTACAAGTAATGGGTCCCAGGTTCGAACCCTGCCCAACCTACGCAATCAGACAGTATCATACACACACACACACAACAAGTGTAGCTCATAACCCAGTACATAAAGATGCACCGGTTCGAGTTACACTATACCCCCTGCTTAGTCCACTGGAAAGCCAGTGTCAAAAAGGTTATCCAGACCATACATGAAAACAGATTGAAAACTGAAGCGTAAAAACTCAATGGTAAGTGACTTAAAGTGCTGATCTATTTTAGCCAATCTCAACCATGGATTTCATTTGACATTAGATTACAATAATTAGTCAACGTTTCAATTATTTTCTTCTTCACAGGTTCTGCTCACATTTGTTTTGTTTCATTGAACAGCCTACAAGTTAGGTTTGGTTTTAGCTAATTTTCGATAACTGAATTTAACGGATTGCATATCATACCTATTGGAATGTATGGGTGTTCTTTGTGAGCTTTATTATAGACAATATAGGATGCAGATCAGCGTAGTCAATATGATATCCCCAGAAGTGTATAAATCAAAGTCTAAACATAGAAGTTCTCAACACATACAAGCCAAAATCATTTTGAGCAATAAAGACAGTTGAAGACAGTCAAAATATACCTAAAGGTATTCGAGAATTTAGTACAATTTGTTTTGCTGCCACAGCATTCAGATCTGAATTGGTTAAAAATGTTCCATGTCCTAGTCGATCTGGTAAGTGCTGTCTAAGAAATTTACACCAATCTTCACTCTGGTCGGCTATTTCAGCAATGTGTACGGTAGTTTTCAAACCATGAGAACGAGCTGCATTTAGAATTGGAATGAAATCGCATAAACTTCCTACCTAGAGGGAAAAATTTAAGCAAATAGCAACTGGTTTTAAGATGAATGAGTGTTCAAATACTGTATACAAAAAATTCATTAAAATATTAAAAAATCTAAGTTACTATACTTCACAGTACCATACAAAGAACAGGTGGATAGAAAATGACTAATATCAAAGCTAACAAATTTGTATGAGGGAATATATAGTCAAAAGATAAAGAACGGTTAGTGCGAATATTCAAGCCTTAGAAAACGTCAAGAAGTAAACATATCTACGCCACGGTGATCGATTCCCAACCATGTCCCCAACAGTCCTCAAACACTGATTCCCCTTGTTTCGGGGACCCTACCCAGATAGTCGACATCTCACACGACTCAGGATATGTATTGGTCTGGCCACCCTGAACCTTCTTCCAAACTAAGCCAAATTCTCTCAGCACTGTACGTTGAGGTAGGCAGTGGCTCTTTACGAATGATACAATAAAGGGAAATTAACAAACGAAACCATTACATGGCTTTAGAACCTCGAACGAACGTGACTACAACGAAAAATAGCATTCACAGATTAAAACAGATTCCCATCAGTTAAGTGGCTTCCTATTACCAGTATATAGTGATCATTGACTGTTTTATGAAGGCTATCCATGGCTGATGAAAGTCATTAAAATGAGGTGAAAGTATATTATTCTGTACATGCTGTTGTTATTGGATTGTTCAGAATGAAACATATTAAGACGAACACGAAGAATGAAATGAATGAACATCGAATAAATACTTAGCGCCTAGTACAATGTTTAAGATAGGATAAACAAATACGTTCACTTAGTTGTAACCAATTTCGATCTATGCCATCTAGAATTTCCAATCTTCGATACATAAAATCTAATCAGCGTAGACAGCTAACTAGTGAATTCATCGATAAGCGGCAGGCTTTTGTTTGAACCAGCACAAGCAATTTAGTGAGAATTGGTTTTAGCGCTACACTTCTATTCACTCGTCGAATTCTATACTTTGATTAACCAAGTATATGAAATTGGATAATTCTTGTGGCAAACATTTTAGGTGGGAAACCTGAAGAATCAGAGGTCGGACGACAAAATGCAGTTAGGGAACCTTGGGAACGCATCCAGGAAATGGGCAACTCTCCATTTAATCGACGACATTCAAAATGCTTGTAATGAAGTGGCTATATCTTGAAGAAATTTAGTATAGGCGACTTAAGTGTCCAAAATCTTTCCGGGTATCATTATGTATTTAAATTTTCTATAATCATTCGAACAAGTTATGTGTATTGATATTATGGCTTGTAGATCTCCATCGTTGATTGAACCGAATTGACCGGCCACTATTGACATATGGTCTCTTGTGCAGATGCCTCGATATTGCCAATATTTTCAGTTTCAATATTACTGATGGGTAGTGTTTAGCAGTGGAATCCAGAACGCGCGTTTTGTACTACTTGAGACTCGTCACCTGGATGTACCTGCCTACCAGCTAGCTATATCATCCCGTCAGAGTCGAACCAAGAATCAATCACTTCGGACCCAAGTTTTGTCCACTAAGCAATTAAGTGACGATGGCCATGTCTTGTGCAACAGGTATGGTACAGTTTTGATGTTATTTCTTTTAAACCTCCGTCGCTGATTGGACCGAAGTGATAGGCCACCACTGGTATATAGAGACTAGTGTGCCGACATTTTCAGGGTTGATATTAGTGATCGCCATATGTGTGTATTGAAAAATTCAAGTGACCATACTCCTCAGGAAGTCCATAAATTTTAGTTAGTACCACATATCAACATTTTACTAATGATGCAGGAGACAGTGCAGCTCTACTTTACCCTTGAGTTCAAGGCAAAAGTTGTTTTTGCGAAAGCAAAGGATATAGCAAACTTGTAATCAAGAGTAGTTAACTACTGAGTGTCTCTCACTTCACAAATTTCAGACAGTATAGAAGTCAACATGTTCATACCAGTGACAATAATATCACAGCTTACTGGGCTTGTCACATTGTGGTCCCCATAGCTCAATAGTTTAGGAAAATGAATTTCAACCAAAGGGTCACGAGTTCGAGCACAGAGCCACCTACCGAGGTTTGGGCAAACGAGTAGTATCACTAACCCTCACACCATAGATATGACTCACAGCCTACAGAACGGATGTGCACACAAGGTTGCTAAATGTTTCGATTTCGATTCTTGTCACATTCAGTTTTAAAATATGATATTGTTAAAATAGTAAAAAGTTTCTATGTGGTTTTACGAAATGCTCAATTAGGATGATAAATACCAAAAAATACCAAGGAACAAAAGCCTTACGATTAAGAATTAGTAAGATAAAAACCTGAATTCCGGTGTGACAGAAATCCAGAGAATTACTAGAGAAGTTACGGACAGTTGCAAGTGTGCACAGAGAAGAGATGATAGATATGGACGTTGAATTCTAGCGAGATGAATCAATTGACATATTAGTTTTAATCATAATCTCTTGCATCACATACTTTATTGGCTTGAGTATAATCCCTCTCAGTTTGTCAACTTGTCATCTTAGTATGAAAAGTTGTTGATATCTAGACGTTTCAGTCTAATGTTTCTCTTCAGTTTAGATAGAAAGGCTAAGCAAACTGTAGGTGTTAGGGATGTCTGATCCCTAAAAAACTAAATTATAATAAATATATATTTTCATTGTAAAATTCAAACCCTATTTTCGTGCCTTTTTTGCTCCACACAACGTTACTTATTTTTACCGTGGTTTAAAACACTAAGCTCTGATTGGTCCATTTTAAACTTTCAATATGCTATTTTCCCTCAAAAAGCCATAAAAACGATTGGAATTTCAGTTATAACTGCATTATTCAGTTGAAATAAATAAATCTTCAATCCCATTGTCTTCTTCTTCTGATGTCGGCTGAGTATCGCGTTTAGACGTCATTGTCCTATTGTTAATCGTATCGCATCGGAGCATTATATTACTTATATATATATATATATATATCGCAGCTGAAAACAGCAGGTATTTCACTAGCAGACATTATTTTCACCAAAAGACAAGGTAGATTCACTTTGCAATCATGAACCTGGTTTATCTAGAGACAACTGAGAGGCTGCTCAGTGTGACAGTAGTTAGTAAGCAAATGATAGGGGCGTTAACAATAACTTCTCTCTATCATTAATCGTCAGATAAAATATCATAAGTAACATATTCCAAGTGTATTCCCCAACGAACTGTCATACTTCAAACAACATGATACGGTGAAATGCTATCGAGCATATACCTTTTTCTCTGATATTTGGGCCCAAAATTAATTGAGGAAGTTCTTCGATTACTTTTGCACTTTAATCACAATATTTGCCTTTAAGCATATGTAAATTATCATATATGGAATTATACAAGACATTCCTAAAGCTTGTGAAATTCGACTAGTAAAACGTTTTGTTACAATATGAAGGGCAGAAATCGATGACGCTGTTCTGTAGATTTTACTAGCCAGATCAGTAATCTAAACACTTGACTGTCATTTCGCTCATTCGAGGCTAAGTTCATCAACAGCATACCAAGACAAATTCAGCTTACAGAGTCAAACTGTCTAGATCAATTGAACCTGGTTGGTGAGCTGACTTAAATGGTTCGATATACCTAAACCGAATGAAAAATTTGCACATTATTTAAAAATTTCAAGGTCCACAATCACATTTCTCGAATCTAAGTAGTTTTTGCATGAGCGGTTTCTAACTACTTATTTTGTCCAGTAGTGTATTTTTTGATTTATTATGGTTGTATGTCAGAAACTATGGTTGGTGATAAGGACTGGTTGGTTTGCAACGGAAATCTAGTTGACACCACAGTTGGACAGTTTAAAAACAACTCATCTGTGAGAAATATCAATACGAACCATGCTCTTTGTAGACAATTTGTGAACTGAATATGAAAGACCTCAGGATTCGGAACATTCAGTCTGTGGAAAATACTTATAATGATGTCTGGAATCACAAAGATTTGAATTTTTTAGATGCTTCGACAAAATGCTTCACATGAATGACCATGTCTGCCTAAACCACCACAACACACCAAAATAAGAACTATTTTTCAAATAAGTCCCGGTTTACGTTCTACATTCTGTAGTCTCACCACACTCATAAGAACGTCTATGATGCAAAACTTGTAATTTCGTTATATTTCTTACCTTCTACCACCATGTTTCACAGCAAAATAGTAGGGCAAAATGAATACCGTAAAACAACACTACTTTTAACGGTTAGCTCGATGATACTCAAGCACGAGCTGGGGAAAGTTGGTCAAGTCAAACGAATCTTTTATATCCCAACTAAGATTTAGTCAGTAACCAGGCTATTAGAACTGATGAGGCGCCCCAGTTACGAGAAGTAGTTTGAGTGTTACATAACTCTACTCAATATCGTTATAGAGATAAGTGCGAAACAGCATCTTACATTTGAATGTTGAAAAATACATAATAAACATATTCGGAAATCAATTATTGACGGTTCCTTCATAAAGTTGCTAGTATTTCTACACGCTTTGATGCATAAATGAATCAAAAATAAATGGTATATGGGATTAGTAAAGTTGATGAACTTACAGATGGGTTTCCACTGAGATCAATACCTGATATCAGTCCATTAGAGTAGTTATCTTTGGCCAAGTTTAAGGTGATGAATGCCTCATCGATACTTTTCGACCTGTCTATAGACAGTAATAATCTCACGCATATCTTCCCACTAATTACACTTGGTGCATTTTGTATGCCATTGATGACTGCATTCAAATAGGCAAGATGCGTTGGTAGTGGTCGTAAAGTAGTTCTCAACTCCAAAAAGATAACATTATCTTGATGAAATTCTTCAACAACAGAAGTTGTTGCCTAGTATTGAATGAACAAAGAATTTACCAGTCATAGTAAAAACTTAATACTGTTAAGCTTGAAATTTGCTTTAGTAACAATGAAGGCTTTAAGGACTCATGAAAATGATTGAAAACTAACCAAAAAATACAATATTGGTTGAAAGGTAATACCGGTCTAGCACTGACTATTGTTGTTCCTAAAGAAACTCAAATCAAGAGCTTACAAGTTCAAATAACGCAGCATTACTTGTTGGTGCAATATGTCACAACCACCACTCACTGTGCAACAGATATGGTATAAAATCACACCTTTTACACTCTTGATGTTGACCTATGGAAGTGATGAACCACTAGTGGGAAACAGCTCTCGCACAAGCATACATCAACATTATTGTTGCACTCACTTCGATACCGTTGATTACTATCTATTAGAGGATAACACCAATATTCAAGCATTACCATGGAGCACATTTGTCAATGACAGCCGATGCACTCGGTCTAAACAAGTATACAACTATAAGCTGACTTTTCATCTAGAGATAGGGAAGCCTAAATGATTGGGCATAGGGCTACCAACCCTACCCCGGAAAACCAATTCAACCTCCAAAGAAACTTCAAAGCACAAAGAAAATATTAAAAACAAAAATAAACTTATTCCTCGAACGAATCGGAAAGACGAAATGACGCCAGTTGGTGAAAGCCTTCAGGAACCCAATTGCCCTATGTCTCCTTCTACGATGAAAGCAAAGGTAAATATGGGGGATATCGAATGTCTGCACCATGTATGAACCTAGCAAGGCTGCCCAGATTGCAAAAGAAATCAGAACATATGACATAGAAATGCCAGGAATCTGTGGAAGCAGATGGAATGGAAGTGAACTCTCCAAACTGTCAACTGCAGAGTCAATAATCTACTCCGACATTGTCACCCAGACGACAACCACGAACATATTCAGGTTTAGAGTGGCTTTCATGATGTCCCCAATAGCATCAAAGGCTTTCATGCAGTGGGAGCCAATCTCCTCCTGCAGGATCAGGATCCAGACAGCAAGATTCAACTCAAAAGGAAGGAAAGTCACAATCATACAATGCTACACTACGTACCTATAAATAATATGGTTGAAGAGAAGAAGGAGGAATTCTACAGACAACTGCAAACAATAATGGACAAGACCCCACCTGAGTTGGAGACATCAAAATTCTAATGGGTAACATGAATGCCAAACAGGGAGCGGACAACACAGGAAGAGAACCAACCATGAGTCGAGAAGCACTCGATGAAATGACGAACGAGAATGGAGAACTGTTTGCAGACTTCTGCGCATTCAACGATTTGGTGAGTGGAAGCAGTGTGTACAAACACAAGGATATACACAAGGCAGCGACATGGATTTGATTCAACCAGACACAAGGACACACCACACTAAAAATCACATCGACTTCACTTCAATATGAAGAAAGTCGAGACGTGGCCTACTGGACACAAGACCAGATGAACAAGGGGAGCAGATGCAGGTAGGTTCACACCACTCACTATCTAGTGCAAGGAACCTACCTTCAAAATCAAGTTGAAAGCCACTAAAGAAGTTGGTGATAGAAGACCACAGTTGAAGTTCAACATCCAGAACGGAAACTGCACTGAAGCACGAAACTTCAAAGGATATCTTCACGCCAGTCAGTCAGTCATCAGAACAAAATGGAAGACATTAAGCAACATCTCTGGAGAAACCTGAGTGGAAGAACACTGGAACTCTTTCATAGAGATGTGGAAGAAAACCTGCATAACCATGTTAGGAAGGAAGAAGAAGCAAGACAAGACAATGAATGGATCTCCACGGACACATGGGAGCTGATAGAGGAGGGAGAATAAGATGGTGATGGTGAAGTAGAAGATGAACCAGTGAAGTGCAAGGATGAACAACGAAAAGAGGAATTGAGTACACTACAACCTATAAAACACTGCACTGGACAACGGAGTGAAGAAGAGTGCACGGAAAGACAAAAAACACTTCTACGACACATTGGCAAGTGAAGCAGAACAGGCTGCTAGTTGGAGAGAGCTGACAACATTAATTCAAATAGCCAGGTTACTATCTGGGAGGGAAGAGGTCAACACAGATGAAAGCGATGAGAGATAGTGAAGGAAAGCTAGTAACCAAAGACGAGAAAGAAAGGAAACAATGGGTTGAACACTTCAAAAAAAAACTATTGAATCGACCACCACCACCACCAACATCTGCAACTCGTCCAGAAATACCAACAGCAGCCCAGTCACAGAATTACCAGTGAACGCAAACCCACTGACAAAAGCAGAAGTGAAGTCGTGAAGGGCACAAAGTCGCTGAAATTCGGGAAAGCAGCACTAACAGATGGAATTACACGAGAAGCACTGAAAACAGACGCAGAGACAACAGCAGACATGCTCACATCACTACCGTGGAAGGTGTTTCTAACGAAGGAAAGAAGGGAAGTTACATGTCCGTTGATTGGAAGAAGGGCTACCCTGTCAAACTTCCAAAGAAAGAAGACCTAAGTCTTTGTAAGAACTGACGGGGTTCATGTCCTATCCCTGTCCACCACAAGCAAAATATTATGCCGCATCATACTGGAGAGACTAAAAGATGTGCTGGATTCAAAATTACGACCGGAACTGGAACTGAATGGTTGGATTCAGGGAGAAAGGATCATGTGCGCATCAAATTGCAACACTATACTCAACTACGCATCATCTTAGAACAGAACATTGAATGACAGTCAACTCTCCATCTTACCTCAACTTCATCGACTTTGAAAAGGCCTTCGATCAAGGCGTCGACCGAGAAGTAATTTGGAAACTGCTTCAAGTTTACAGAGTACCACAAACCTTTATCAACCCCATCCAACATCTGTATGCTGACACCACATGCCAAGTGATCCACAATGGAAAGCTCAGCGATGCATTTGAAGTGAAGACTGGAGTAAGACAAGATTGCCGCCTACTATCATCAATCATCCTCCTGATTGTGGTCAACTGAACTGGACTGGATCATACAGCAACCCGTGAGGAGCTGTGAGAAGAGGGGCATATGCTGTTTGACCGATGAAAAGGCCCTAGTATATTGGGATTTTGCCCATGTTGATTTATGTCTAATGTCTTATAGCACAGACTCGAAGATCTGCAGACAAAAACCAACAAGTTGGCAGAAGAAGCGAGGCAGTGGAGACGGGACTTCAAGTGAATGTAGGGGAGACAGAGGTGATCAAGATACCCAACCAATAACGACAACAACAACAAGCACCAATCACCATGAACGAGAGAAACCTAAAGGAAGTAGTCTCTTTCACCTACCTAGGCTGGGCAGCATCGTTTCAACTACAGGTGGCACAGTCATAGACGACGTCAAAACTAAGATCGGAAAAGCAAGACAGGCTTTCACTAATCTGAAACCAATGTGGAGATCTACTGCACTCAGCATGTGGAACAAGATCCGGATTTTCAACACTAATGTCAGTCAAGTCAGTGTTTCTATGTGATGGCTGAGAGACTTGGCGCGTTACCAAAGGCATTTCCAACAAACTACAGACGTTCATCAACAGCTGCCGCCTACGCCTACGCTCACTCGATACTGAAGATCAGACCAGATGAGATAAGATGGATGGCCAGAAAGAATAAGCAACAAGGAACTCACTGTGGCTGGCGACGAACCAACCAAGAACTTATCGCTCGACGAATATGCAGAAGAAAGTGGAGATGGATTGGATTAGGCATAGACTAAGAAGACCGATTGGGGACATCACACGCCAGCCCAGGCCCTCGAAATTTTTAAGGTAACAAAAGGTGAGTACACTTGTGTCATTGTGACCTATTTTTACCCGTCAACAAGAGTCACTAACCACTGATTCTTATCATCTCGAGGAGCGCCGCTATGTACTTATTTCCTTTCCCGAATGACTTAGATCATCAGTCAAGGACTACATGAATTGGTGTCACCTTTTGGATGGATCAGTCTTAGCTTTCTCCCAACTCAATCTTACTTTGATTAACATTTCACGTGGACATTGGCGGTGGCTTGGGATCCACAACACATATTTAAACCATCTCAGTCAATAAAACTTCACGTTTTAAACGACTGACTAGCTTTCCTTGCCTAGTACTCTCCGCCCGAGCTCGCTACTGGCCATGTGGTGATTCGACCAGGTACTCTCCAGGGAACAAGAAAATCCCCTGAAATTCACAGTGGATTCACAGTATTGCAAAGTTCAACGAGAACCGCGGCAATAGGGATCGTTAGCAGATAGCCCTAGTTGTTATCATTTTAAATGACAACTTCCTATAAACCCTTACGCTGCCATAGCGTTATCTCTTCTCACTCTGACGATAACTACTTTTCGTCTAAACAACGTCAAACAGATATTTCTGGCATAGTAGGACTTCAAGGAACACTCGTTTCACCAAGCATTACTCGATGGGTCATTGAGATATGTAAACCCGACCACCACTACAAGTTAGTAGTTATCAGTCGGGATTAGTAGGCTTTGCATGACGCGCAATAGTGTCAAATTTGTCGGTATATTATTCATTGAAGAGATATTTGTAAAGTTCAATGCTATCTTCAAATAACGTTGACGGGTTCAGAATGAGAAAATGTGATATATTTACAGTAATAAATAGTGAAGTGTGGGACAGTGACCTCTTTTAACTTCTGACTGAGTAACTGAATCTACCTCCGTTTCACTGAGTATTGATGCTTTTAAGGTGACCAGCATTAGTAAAGGGAACAAAAAACGGTAATGACACGTGGATTGGAATGATCCACAAAAGCACATAACCGTGACGTTGTCCCATGACAAACATTCAGTAACACACATGGTTTTAAATCATTGGCTTCGTAGCAAGAAAACACTTTACACATGTGGTCTTAAAAGCTTTAATACCGTTTATTGTTTGCTGGCTTTTCAATCAACTGGAAACACAGCTGGTCAGCTTATGGCATGTAGCTGTAAGTTTAATGATTTATTCGCAAAGTATCCTTTGGATCACCAAAGTCTTTTTGGAAGGGTTGACAAATTTTACGACGATCGGAAATGGCTCAGAATTGAAGCTAGTAGCGACGACACTTTACTTTCCTTGTACGTTCTTTTTTCAGGTCAAAAATAATCCTCTTGGACATATTTTACGTCGCTGATATTTTGGTCATATCATTAATCTTTATCTTCCTTAGAATTAGCTTATTTCGTGTGATGCATTTCCTAGTACTTATGCTGTGCAAAGTTTGTATCCAATAGTCAATGAATGCAATGAAGTTAATCAAAGACAATCCCTTGGACTGATTCATTTTCAAAAGGTATATATATATATATATATATATATATATATATATATACTGAGATTTCCTACTTCATAATGGTTTCTCATTTTTTCCACCTAAATAAATAAGAAAATGATAACAACGATTTACCAGTGATGATAAGTTTGTAATAGGGTTCCTAAATAGTATCATTTTGTGGGTGAGGATACTAAACTTTCTAATCAGTTAACCACTCATGACAGAATAGTTATTACTGTCAAAATTACATGGCTTCTGTTGTAAATAATACTGTGATACAAAGGGTACCCCAACCACACTAATCTACTTTACTTTCTACAACTTATGTCATCAATTTGTAACCAACTTTTCGTCTTAATATTCGCGACAACTGCGGGCTACCTATATGCCTGGAGCTCACTGAGCAAGTTGTTTAGATCCACTGGATTTTGACTAAGCATCTTAACAGTGAGGCCGCAATTTCATATAAGACAGCAAAAACAAGCATACCTCACTGACTGCTAATAATAAGCACAAGCTTTGAAGGACGTAATCAATATTTCAAAATACAAAATAAATCATAAATGCAAGATGCATACCCTTTCCAAAACTTCTGGGGATCTGATTAGTTCGTGAATGATATGGAAGGAGTCGAAACACCTATTTTCGAAATTTAAAAGATTAGGCAGAATCTTATAATTACGCATCAAGCCCATTTTCAAAAATTTCTTCGCAGAGTAGACTAGCACACTGAACTTTACGGTAGACGACCGCTTCATGCTTCAAAAAAATTCTGCTGATGCTACCAGAAAGATGAGCGTGCAACTCCTATCATTGAAATATACGCGTGAGCACATACTAGCTTCGGCAAGTTTTGGCAGAAATATTTCACCCCAAATTCGGTTTTTTCGATACCCATGAGTTCTGATTTTTCTGAATGAAAAAGAAAACAAAATTAAGAAGTGTAACCAACATTGGCATACCCGAAGTAAGATCTACACAAACAAATATGTAGGCGTGCAAACCATTGTGACTTTCACTCGGTTTAAGGACAATATCCTTAGAGAGGTGAGGTGGCCGGCTGATTGGTCTCCATTGGTTATAAACAAACAGTACTTTTAGCTTAGCTGCTTGGTTACTGAAGACGGTCTGCTTTGAACAAATAACCGCTGACGTAAAAACAAATACTTCTGAACTTTCAGATGCTTAAAGAAACTACGGAGGGTGTTGACCGCATGGGACTACATTTTAGTGCTAGGTGAGATGAACTAACGGTTATAACTTAGTGTAACAACATACGTCTGCCGTGAAATACAGCAGAATGAGTTAAAATGATGCATTACAGCTTTCTTCGACTTTATGAAATATGAACACATTGACAAACTGATAAATCGTCAGGATACAGTCAAATAACATCTAAAATCTGAAAAGTAACATCCTACACACCATGCCATCACAAAAATGCATACCTTAACTTCTACTACTGTAACGCAAACATTCAGTCCTGCACTCCAACAACATCCAATATCCAACATCAATAGTGCAAGTAGAGGAAAACTTGCATTTTTTAAGCCCTGGCTTCTAGGTCTTGAGGCTTGATTCTTTTTGTTCGGTCGTACTTCTTCGGTGGTCTCAGAAGTCTCAGCGCTTTTCTGCTTATAATTCTAGAAGTAGTGTTTGTCTAGTTGAATGTGTTTTATTTGCAAATTGTATCTTGGTTTGTTTAGGGGAGGCAGTGGAGCTGCTGATAAGATCAATCAACCGTTTGCGATTCCTGTTGTTGTAGGCACCTGCAAGTGAGTGTTAAGCGTTACTTAAAAAGTGATAGAAACGGAGTGAGTGGGGAATGAGAAAAAGATAAGTGAAAAGTACTTTTGAAAAGATAAATGCGACTGGTAATAATATAGAGGAGAGGTGCGTCTCACTTCAGGTACTAGGGTGGGGGTACAGGGAGAATACAAAGACGGAAGGGCGTATCATTGGTTGCTGCCGACAAATGCTTGTGATAAGCCATTTGCCCTCACATACTCATCCAGTAGTCGTTTGAAGGAATTGACTGATGCAGCTGTGGCCACTTTTTTCGGCAGCGCGTCCCATAAGGCACACACTTTATGGGAGAAGAAGTTAGATCTCACTCTAGTCTTTTCCCTATGGTGGGATATGCGAGTGGGGTTCCCGCGGGATTGTCGGTTTTGGACCTATTATATTTTCCTATATAGGTGGTCCAGTTGGTGAATGATCTTGTAAGCCCCTATCAGATCACCTCGTTTTCTTCGATAGCTCAGTATGGACAGATTGAATTGCCTGGGGCGTTGCGCATACGTTTTACCGGTAAGTCTAACAACCAACTTTGTTGCGCTTCTGTGTACCTTCTAGAGAGAATTCGGGTCGGTATTTAGTAGCGGGGGAGGGGCTATCGTGTTGAACACCTCTAGGTGTGGTCTAACGTAGATTTTGAATACCATGAGGAATAACTCTACAGTTGACAATCCAAGTTGCCTCCTTAGAAAGTGCATAATGGCGCTCGCCTTCGCTGCCATTCCCTTATAAATTCCAGCAGTATCCAGTGTGTCAGAAAAGTTTAGTCCCAGGTCCTTCTCTGTGGATACCTTAGGGATTGCATGCTTGTTAAGAGTGTAGTTGATTTTCACCGCCTCCGGTGCGCGAAGATACATCACCTTACACTTCCGAAGATTAAAGCTTAGGCGGTTTGCAGGTGACCAGGACTCCAGCTGCAACAGGTTGTTCTGGAGTATCCCAGGCTCCTCTTCATCACCGTCGTCCCCCAAATTTTGATGTCGTCGGCGAATAGCAGGATAGATGAGAAGATTTTAGTGAGGAGGTCATTTATGAATAACAAAAATAGGAGTGGTCCAAGGACTGCTCCTTGAGAAACTCCTGTTCTTGCTTTCCTCCAGGTTGAGCGAATTCTGTCTACTTTAGTGCAGAATTCTCTACCCTCTAGGCATGCTGTAAGCCATGCTAAGAGTGGCTCAGTGATACACACTTTTGCTGGTTTGGTGAGCATAATGAGGCGTGGGACGCTATCAGAGGCCTTGACTAAGTCCAAGAAGATAATGTGAACTGGCTGTTTGCTTCCCATCTAGCAGTCCAGTCATCCCAAGCGGTCATGAAGTTTGTGGCACATGACCGCCTAGTTCTGGAGCCATGCTGGGCGGGATGGACGATGTCATTTCTGATAAGGTAGTCTCAAACAACATCCGAAACCAGGCTTTCCAGTACCTTGGAAAGTATGGGGAGTAATGCCATTGGTCTGTAGTTACACGGGTCCTTTCGGTCTTCCCCCCCCCCCTGAAGATTGGTGAGAGGATGGCGCGTTTTCATTCTTTGGGGAGTTGACTTACTCCCAACGAGTGCGTGAACGGGTTGCATATGTGTATGCTTAATACTTTGGCACAGTTGCGTAGAACAACCGGCTTTATGTCGTCACGGTTGGGAGATCTCCCTATCCTGAGTGTTGAAAGTGGTGATTCAATATTGACTAACTTTCCACGAGCCAGTGTGAATCAGTTGATTCCCTTGTGCTCGCTTTTGAATCTTTCGCAAAGATTCCAGCTGTTTGATGGATTCTGATGCAGTAGGACTGCCGACTCAACACCTGTATCTCCGGTTTTCCAAACTGGGGGTTAGGGACCGATTAAGTCTGTGGGGATTGCACGATTTTTCAAAGGTCTCCGGTGCAGGTGGGCTTCTCAAGTGTCGCGCCACCGGCATTTGTACAGATCTGTTGTAGAAAGAAAACGGAAAAACTTTACGGAGGAATCAAGCGAAAGAAAGTGCGGATAATAAACAAGAAAAAGAAACAAAAATGATGAAAGGAGGTGGAGTGGAAGGGAAAGAGGATTCATGGAGGATAAGTGACAGGTAGAACCTCAACAAATAGTGTTAGACCATAGATGCAGAAGGAAGAGAGGAAGCAATTGAGATTGCAGGACGGTCTGTAAAAACAGAAGTAGTAATGTCGTTGTTGTGGCTATGTTGACTGCAGAAGACTTCCAACAGGGGGGCAAAAAAAGTTTGCCGTTCGCCTCCGGACTTTCTCCAGGAGGCCCACATCCCTCTTCGGGTGCGTTGGTGCAATGACGCTATGAGCCTCTAGTCGGGGTTGAATGCAAGTCTTGTACAGCTTTAGGGGGATTCCGGGGTGGGGGCACCTATTCATCTGTTCTTGAAGTGCGGTACTGAGGCTCTACGGACGCATCCTCCGAAAAACTGGAACTAGTGTCTGTCCTGTCAGTCGTAGTTAGCAAAGTAGAACTGGGCAGCTGAGATTCGATAGAATTCCGTTCACAAGGAGAAGGAACAACGATGGGCCCAAAGTCGCCCCTTGTGATAGACCAGATGACGACGTCCTCCAAGTCAAGCGAACCCCGTTGACACTTGTGCAGAATTCTCTGGCGCCCAACTAACTCTGCAGTCAGGGGTGCACTTCACCGCTGATACCCAGCCTTCATATTGTGCGGACGAGAATGGCCTGTGATACTGTGTCAAAGACCTCGGCACCCTTCAAGCCTTCGTCGACTAAGTTTGACACAACTCATCAAGATACCGGAAATAAAGTCCAGTCTAATGCCCTAAGTGATATGGAGAAAGTAATCGACTGCACCTCTTCCGAAGTCAAAAAGTCCACAGCTGCTGGCCAGTGAGCAATTGTGTACAACGCCTCACATAAAATGACAATTACGACCATTAGGAAAGTGCTTTCAAACGTCGCCATGTCGGATACTCCTTGCGTGTCTTCTAGACCATAAAACGGCCACCAAGTTATCAGTTCGTACGACCCGATCAGTTTCACTGCAAAGCTTAGTAATGTGTGGACAGTAACAGAAGAGACCGTTGACCAGCGACGAACTCGCAAAAATAATCCAGGCTCACGATACACAACACCTAAACACAGGCGTTCATCATTTAATGAGTCCCTAAGTGTCTCGAATATTCAGCCAAACCCTTCTAAAATCACTGGACATACTAGTTTCAGTGCTGAGTTTGCATGTAACAGTGATAAAATCGTCCGCTTAAACAAATCGTCCGATGAACCTGTCCCTACACTCGCTATGCAAGTGCAACTATCAATGAAAATAAGAACCCAGTATCGCAACAGACCTACCATGTGCAAACAAAACAATAAGGACCGAGGTTAAACTGAAGGTGAGATCTCGAGGACTCCCAGGGTGAACTACAAGAAACCCAATTCACATAACTGATTTCAACAAGCTCGTAAAATGAGCTCAGCTAGGCACAAAGAACACAAAAACATTACCATACAGTCACACCAACACGTGAAAGCAGGCAAACTTCCCAGCGAACTTCTACCCATAAAGACATGCACCTCCAGCCCGTTTTTAGAAGTATGAATTGCCCAGTGTTCATTTCCCCAAACTTACACCATAGATCACACACGAATGAATCGACGGCATACCGTTCATCAGCTCATCATTTTCGAATATGCCGCCACTCTTACACACTGACGGCTAGCGTCTAAATTCGGAATACTTGTGAGCAACCACTCATGTCTGACCTCTATGACTGAGACTTCGTGGGGCACACGAGCTACAAGGAAGTTCTATTGGAGGTAAGCCAGTGAACTATACTACCCTGAGAGAATGCTGCCTTTTAGACAAAATTGTGGCTCCTGGAATGTCCGGCTTTCCTCCCAACTCCGAATGACTGAACAACCGCTCATATGAAAAACGTTTTCTCTGGCCAGACCCGACTCATATATCCGATCACAAGGGATAGGCGCAGACAGTCAGGAGAGCTTTTCCTTCGTTGGAACTCTAAACACAGGTGCTGTTAAGCTGCACTCAACTAACTCGCCAGCGTAAACAAGAGATACCGCCCATCCAACGTATCTGTTCCCGGACACAGATCGACCCACAAAACGACTTCCGACCCGACATTCAGGCCACGTCCAAGGTGAATTCTAGACTATGCAGTGCGGTTCAAGTGACGTGCCGTCAGCGAAAGCAGAACTCCCACAATGTCCGTCCAACCGAAAGGACTTCGGGAGTTTCAAAAATTATCACAATTAAAGTATTTTAGTAGTCCCGTCTAATAAAGACGGCATTTAACGGACAACGTCCTGACGACAGTTCTCAGATGGCTTGTTGTATATTAACTCAATGAAGCACAATGTGATCTTACACGGCTTCACACGGCACAGTATGGATTCCTCTAGGTAACCGAATTTTCGGCTAATAACTTAGTAGACCCTGAGAGCCACCCCGCCTGTTTTTCAATCCAGCCGTCGTGAAACGTCGTCGTGTCTGGGACTAGTGGTTCTCAGTCAAAGAATTAAGATCAGCCACATGTCTCTGCAAGGTCAAAGACGTGCCGGAAAAGGGTGGAAAAGAGTGATAATAATGTCGGTTGTCATGAGAAAGATGATGGTAATACTGACTCGAATCAATCCAGATTGTTGTTCTTGATGCGCCATTGTTATCATTACTCATTTACACTCTTTTTCCGGTAAATCAACAGAAAACTCCTCAATAATATTCGCCAC